TTGAGTTAAAAGGAGATAAGTGAGACACCCTGAAGAAACATGATACGTGGAACGAAAACAATCTATCCTGGTGGACGAAATAATGGGTCAGTTTGAAATTCCAATCCCCTGAAGAAGGCCGAAACGTACAACGGCCAAAATGCCGGGAATATGGCAACAAAGATGAGGACAACAGTCCGAACAATGTAAAAATTAAATTTTCTTTAAAATACTGTTTACCATGAAGTCCTATAAAACTAAGTGAAATTACAGAAATTATTAAAATGCGAAGTCAGGTTTTTGTCAAAGTATTTTTCCAAACAAATCAGCTTATTCAGATTTGATCAATTGGTTTGCTGAATTGAACGAAATATAGAGTTTGTAAATCTTAACAAATAAATGTTAGCGATAACTGAAACAATACTAAATATTGTGAGGATTTCAATACGAGTCGGCCTGCTGCAAAACCTCTATTAAATAAATCTCTTTGAATATATTACAGTAAAAATATTTTGCAATATCAAATTAGAAAACCTTGAAAATTTGTCCTGAAAATTTATAAAAATAATTTCAATATAAAACACAAAAAATAATTTTTATTGAAAGCTGAGGCTTCCATAATTTAATAAACATTATTTTATTTTCAGATTTAACAGTGAAAATTGCTATAATATTTTTGAAAAAATACTTTAATTTACTTTAATAATTCTTCCGGTTGCTGAGATCGTTTATATAAAATAAAAATATGTTTGTAAAATCAAAAATATGCAAGATTTAATGCCACTTTCGCCTCAAAGATGTTTTTAAAGAATATTTCAACGATTTTCTTTTTATATTATAGTATCTTTTTTAAAGAATGTTATTTTCTATTTTTATTTTTTTTTAACGGTTAGCTTATTTCTTTACAGAAGATCAAATAGGAAATAATTCAACAATTCTGAATTACCTACTTATTGGTATATAAGGTTAATTTTTTTTTCTTTCCGCGAGTTTGTTATTTTTTCTTTTAAACCAGAATTTTCTAATTTTTTTTTTAATAAATTTTCTTGAAATAATTAAATAGACCCGATTTGGTGCCCCTAAATATTTCATGACATCAAAGTGTAAAAAAAAAATACTGTATATGTACAGGGACATATATAAGAAATAGTTTTAGGTGTGTACATATCTGTACAAGTATGCATAAAAATAAGCTCTATGGTGTGTATATTCTTGTATTTTTGTGTGTATATGTATGCACAGGTATCTACCAGGGGCATGTATGTACAAATATAGAAAAAAAGTCTCTAATATACGTTTTTTGCTTGGATGGGAGCGTATGTATACGAATATGCATATATATATATATATATATATATATATATATATATATATATATATATATATATATATATGTATATGGAGAGAGAGAGAGAGAGAGAGAGAGAGAGAGAGATAAAAGACACGCTCCCTGATTTAAAATCGAACAATATCAAATGGCTTTAATATAGATACAGATAAAACACACACACACACACACACACACACAAACAGAAACAGACGGACAGAAACTCTCTTGAATCTGGACATTGTGAGATAATAACGTAATGTAATTTAATTTGATTCATAATTCCCACTTATCAACAGAGATCGCAGGGCATTTTCCTCAAATACAGTTTTGTCTTTCTTTAATTCTGACTTGAGGAACCTCTCGGCGAAACGCGTCGTTAATATATTCTACACATTGTTTCATCATTTTCACTTTTGTTTCGGACACACACACGCGCGCGCGCGCACACACACACACACACACATATGAAATTAATGTATGCATTGCATTACGAACTAAATGACAGGTAAAATACGAAATGATGTTTGCTTTGATTTCGAAATGACGGCGTGAAGCGGAAGTGAGGCGTGGAAGTTCATGTGCAGCAAAAAAATGACTGACATTTCTATAATAGATTTTGGTGCGAGAATATTTTACAAGCGAATAAAAGATGGGTGGACTTTAAGCGGAAGGAAGTCGGCCATATTGGAGAGCAGAAAACACTAATCAAATGTCTGGAGAAATAATAGCCAGAAAATACTTATAGTGATAATAATATTGGGAAACGAAATTTACAATTCTCCCTACACCCGAGAATTCTCGAATGAGAAAGAGAATGGAAAGAGAAAGGAAGAAAAGTAGAAAAGAAAGGTTTTCTAATTATTAATGGAGACCAGATAAGAGAATGAAAAGAAGTGGGTTGTAATGTGAAAGAAAGAAAGAAAGAAAGAAAGAAAGAAAGAAAGAAAGAAAAAAAGAAAAAAAATTGCAATAGAAGAAACAATATAGAATATATAACCGGTTACAAAAGAGAAGAGTAAATTCTTTCAATTGATAGTTTTCCTCTCTGTTTTTCTTTTAAGAGTGAAATAATGTCTTTTTCTTACGGTGATGGAGAATGAATAAAAAAGCTGAGAAAGTTGGGCATATCATAAGTATAGTTTCAAACGATACAAGGTTACATGTTTGGAATACTTAACTATATTGGAACACATAATATTAGTAATTAATTAACAATTGAGAGGCGTCCTTATTCAAATGCAATGGGCTTAACTCGGTAAGGCAGAAAAATGCAAATGTTGAGTTCCCGATGAGGATCGAACACGCTTCAGTAATTATGGTTTGCAAGACTGGTTTGCTAATTGCTACGCTACGCTGATGCACCAATAGAAAAACGCAAGTGGATGGTGGGGGGGTAGAAATAAACAAGTAAATTAAAATGACAAAGAAAGAAAGAAAGAAAGAAAGAAACAAACAAACAAACAAACAAACAAACAAACAAACAAAGAGACAAACAAAGAAACAAACAAAAAAAACAATATGTAATGGAACCAAATATGAGAAAAAGGAGTGAAATAAAAAAAGAAAAAAACTTTGAAGGAAAATGAAAGAAAAGAAAAACGCCAGGAAGAATCGAAAAATCAAAAATCCCAAAACAAAAGGAAGTAAAAGAAAAAAAAAGCATAATAATATGCTTGGTGATTCAGAGCCGTAGTATTTTTGTAGTATTGTAGTATTTTTTAATGGGTTTTATTTTAACAAAATACAATACAGAAATAAATACAGGGTGGATATGGACAAACTTTCGTCTAAATTACGCAAAAATAAAAATAACACTGACATCTCATTTTAATAGATATATTAACAAAAATATCTTGAAATACTGGAGAGTAAATTTATTCAATAAAATCGCCATTTACTTCAACTACAAATCAGTGCCAGTGAAAGATGACGTTGCTCTAGGGGTCAGTTCCAGTGGGTTATGTATACTTAGATGAGTATCACCACCGGAATTTGGAGTAGTTGCACTATAGTGAGTCTAGTTAATTCTCTTTGGCCCAGTGGTATGACACTTATGCTGTATCGTAACGATCCGGATTCGATTGTCGATAGTGGATGCGCACGTCCGATGAGTCCCAAAAACAACTAAAAGGCCTTCCAGGGCATCTGTTGAGGATTCTTGTTCTAGACTCGATGAATTATTATGTGAAATTATTCAAGGCTCCAAAAGTTCTATTATATATATATATATATATATATATATATATATATATATATATATATATATGATTGGATCTCCCATCATACCCTGTACAAGAAAGAAAAAAAAACTATCAAATCAAGGAAGAATATAACTTTCATAAAACACCGATTAACTAATTTCCCTTTATCGCGTAGAAACTATAAAAACAAAAATGTACAAATAGAAAAAAATTCAAATTAAAACTAAGCATTTACTTTTCCTTAAAATCCTTTTCTCATTTTCTATCTTTCACTCTGTTTGTTTCTGTATATTTCTCTCTCAAATAAAAAGGAAGAAAACAAATAGACTAACCCCGGCCGAAAAACCCCGGTCGAAAAACCCCGGTCGAAAAACACCGGATATTGACGGTCAAGAGGCTAAATAATTTTAAGCAAAAACCTACGAAAAACGAAGTAGGATCCACGCTTTATAAAATAAGTAAGATCTTTCGCTATATAAAATAAAATAATTTTTGCCGCCCCGCCACCCCTAGAGAAAAACATTTGTCTCTGCTACGGCCCTGTGGTTAAAGTACTTTTATATATCAAATCATGGCCAATGACCGAATAAATGACAGATTTTCAAAGCAGACAGGTCTTTTCTTTAAAAGACAAACACAATGATTATATAGAATCAATTGCAAAGAAAGTTGGTATACAGTATAGTCATAATGAAATATTTTTTTTCGAATTTTCACAATCAACTTGGGCATTTATATAATCTCTCTGGCTAAGCCAAGCTAATTAGGCAGCCATTTATTTTTCTCTTCAGAAGCGCTAAACGATTTTTCTCACACGAATCTGTCTTGAATCTTTATTCGTTCATGCACTGAATATTGATGCCACCTCTTCCCCGGTATTTCTGCTATATATCTAGAAATTATGGGAAAAATACCAGTAAGAATCTGCAATATTATCAGTCACGACCTAGCATCTTAGTTTCGATTACTTTCCAACCGTCTTGCAGCTTCCCTGTGACCTTTTTCTGCAAATATTTTTATAGATAGTGTTCTGATGAGCAACTAGACTTCCTGAATTTTAGTGTAGTACTAGGTTGGCAGTTTGGTCTCATCATTTCATTATTGCAATTACTAAATGTTATCGAAGTTGCTATTCTAATAATCAATCGTCTTTTCTTTTTATTGTCCATTCTCCTCACTAAAATTTTCTGTTTCTTTCACACTATTGCCCTTTATCCTTACGTCGTTTTGGTTGGAATGAAAAGATAAAAAAAAAATGTCTTCATTTTTTTAACAGGCAAACTGTCGACTAGCCAAAAGAAAAATGAGTTAAACGCATGAAAGACAGAAAAAACGTGTAATGAATACCTCTGTGTACGGTAATGACTAAAGAGGTTGTGTCGTTAACCATTACAAGTGAGTTCAATGCTTATTAGGTGCCATAAAACTGTGACTACTTACCAGATTAATCTCAGCTTTGTAAAATCGTTTGACCACATCAGGATTGTTAGCTTTCTATTCCGGTCAACTGTCGTTATTTTTCCTTCCTTCCATATTTTATTCTGTCGTTCTCTTTTTCTTCTTTTTCCTTCCTTTCATGTTTTATTCTGTCGTTCTCTTTTTCTTCTTTTTCCTTCCTTCCATATTTTATTCTGTCGTTCTCTTTTTCTTCTTTTTCCTTCCTTTCATGTTTTATTCTGTCGTTCTCTTTTTCTTCGTATCCCCTCCTTCCATATTTTATATTCGTTCTTTTTTTCTTCTTTTCCCTACCTTCTATAACTTATTCTATCGTTCTCTTTTTCTTCGTATCCCCTCCTTCCATATTTTACTCTGTCATTCTCTTTTTCTTCTTCTTACCTCCTTGCATATTTTATTCTATCGTTCTCTTTTTTCTTATTTTTCCCTCCTTTTATGTTTTACTCTGTCGTTCTCTTTTCCTTCTTTTTCCCTCATTTCATGTTTTACTCTGTCCTTCTATTTTTCTTCTTTTTCCCTCCTTCCATATTTTATATTCGTTCTTTTTTCTTCTTTTCCCTTCCTTCCATATTTTATTCTATCGTTCCCTTTTTCTTATTTTTCCCTCCTTCCATGTTTTACTCTGTCGTTCTCTTTTCCTTCTTTTTCCTTCCTTTCATGTTTTACTCTGTCGTTCTCTTTTCCTTCTTTTTCCTTCCTTTCATGTTTTACTCTGTCGTTCTCTTTTCCTTCTTTTTCCTTCCTTTCATGTTTTACTCTGTCGTTCTCTTTTCCTTCTTTTTCCTTCCTTTCATGTTTTACTCTGTCGTTCTCTTTTTCTTATTTTTCCCTCCTTCCATGTTTTACTCTGTCGTTCTCTTTTCCTTCTTTTTCCTTCCTTTCATGTTTTACCCTGTCGTTCTCTTTTCCTTCTTTTTCCTTCCTTTCATGTTTTACTCTGTCGTTCTCTTTTCCTTCTTTTTTCTTCCTTCCATGTTTTACTCTGTCGTTCTCTTTTCTTATTTTTTCCTTCCTTTCATGTTTTACTCTGTCGTTCTCTTTTCCTTCTTTTCCTTCCTTTCATGTTTTACTCTGTCGTTCTCTTTTTTCCTTCTTTTTTTCCTTCCATGTTTTTACTCTGTCGTACTCTTTTTCTTATTTTTCCCTCCTTCCATGTTTTACTCTGTCGTTCTCTTTTCCTTCTTTTTCCCTCCTTCCATGTTTTACTCAGTCGTTTTCTTTTTCTACTTTTTCCCTCCTTCCTTCTTCTACTCTGTCCTTCTCTTTTCTTTCTTTTTCCTTCCTTCCGTATTTCATTAGCTCGTTCTCTTTTTATCCTTTTTTCTTCCTCTCTTCTTTTCAGTTCCTTTTATTTTCTCCCGTTTTATTACGATTTCTTTTTTCTATTCATTATTTTTATTTCTTTCCACGTTTTTCTTTCTAACAGTTTCTGATGCTCATACCAAAATCTAAGCAATGGCAAAATAAAGAAAATGACAATTTAAACAATCAATACCTACCCAGCCCAGACAAAAACATTTACCTCCCACGTCAGACTAGCACAACCACGTTTTCCAACCTTCTCTCTACCCTCACTTCTACTTTTCACCCACCCAGCTTCCAATTACACCGATTACATTATGACAAGAAATGACGTTGCTGTCAGCCTGTCAGGTTAACAGACAGACCTTGCTCTCATAAAATGGCCAGGTGAAGGTAAGTTTCTCCGTCTATCCTGACATGTTGCAGCCGAAGCAGTTTAGATTTCAATTTTACAAAATAACTTTATTTAGGCCGGCAATGATAGGAAGTATAAAAAAGAAAGAGGTGTAGAACCCTGATGTTGCGAAACCTGATAGTGCGATAACTGATGTTGCGAAACCTGATGTTGCGAGTGTTTTTGTAAAGGACACGGATTTCATTTTAATATTTAGTTTCCGTTAGGTGTCACTTTGTCCGGAAAATAATCTCCGATTTTAGAATAAACTTTTATTCCTGTACTAATGTATTTAAACAATGTTTAAATCATTCAAAATAGAAACCCTGAAGATCTATAATCTTCTGCCATCGAGTTACAATGTTATTTATATCTTTACGATAAACCTCTAAAGGATTTGACGAATAAGGAAAAAGGGTGTTTCATTAAGACGGAATATATGTAAGGGTCTTTCACTAAGAGAGATCAAAGTAAGCGGTAATTTAAAATCAGTTTTATTGGTGAAAATGTATTTATTTCTCTATTGGATCCTGTTATTTAAGTCATAGCAATTATGTGTGAAAAATATTAGCGCCCAAATGTCCGCCAAATCTGAAAGAAAAAGAAAAATCATTAGTTACCTATCCCCAAATCAATTAAACTTAATTCACATTTAAAATCGGTCCAAGTTATTGGAACATCTTTTATTTGAATGCAGTTTCAGAATCTTCTTTGCAACGGATTATTTTTCAGCTAAGATAAATTGTCTAGAAATGCTTGTAAAAGTGTAGTCAATTGGTGAGAGATCAGGAGAATATGGTGTATGTGGCAAAGTCTCTGATATAATGGAATATGCGTACACCTGTGTTACCCCCTCACTGGAATATGATTGGCTGATGTCAGTCATAAATATCGACGGACGTGTAAGTACGAGAGTTAAAGCCTTAGTCCCATTGAACTATGCCATTGATCTACACTTCTTACCTGCGACTACGACGCGTACCAGTCTATTACTGCTACCGATCCCTTTCCGGGACATATCAGTCTCGTATCCCAAGACACTCAACTTATGCAGTGTTATCCTGGCAACATGTGGCCGAGGGACGTCATGAATTAGAATTGAACCACATCGATTAACCAGTGCCAGGTCGCATTTTGCTTATCTGAATGTGAATTTAATCCAGTTGCTGAGAGTAAATACCAGCAGTGATGCTCTCGTTGGATTCTACAAATCTGTAATGGATAACACCAATGACAGTCACCCATAATCTTCTGTTGGTGCAATTTCAATTCGTCATAAAGGATCCATTTCTCATCACAAGTCACTACTGAATAAAGAAATGGATCATTAGAATTTTGCAAATCCAGTTGAAATTCCAGCCTCGTCTGTTTTATATTTTGCGTAAATGCCCTTAGGAAATGCACAAATCCATCTTTTCATCATCAGGTAAATAACTGGGTAGATTAGGGTCTCAGTAATTGATCGGTATTCAACCGATTGATTGCTCTGAATTCAAACAATGGTGAAGCCAACAGGAAAGTATTCCACTATATTTCCAAAGAACTCACAATTAATAAAGAAATGAAATCTGAAGAGAGCCACGGTCGCTGATATCTTAAAGGGATATGATATTTTAAAATATATTTAAATAACCACGATAAAAATAAAAACGTCAGTGGAGATCATCTAACACTTTATATCTCTACTGAACAGTTATTTCCTAATAGCTCAGAATTTATGGGAGAGCCAACCATATATATATATATATATATATATATATATATATATATATATATATACATAAATGATGTAAAAGAAGGAAAAGAATAAAATTCAAATGTTCATAACATTAATTTAAAAAAGGGCTCAATACAAGAGTAGAGCAATAAATATTTATTATAAAATGTTACATTAGAACATGCAAGTAACTACTACAAAATTTCATATTTTGTTTCGACGTTTAACACGTCTCATCCGGTAGTGATAGTAATAAACGATTTTATTTAAAATTACAATTTATGAAACATCACTTCTTTTTACATTTTTGGAAAATTTTCCATAAAAGGCTAAAAACATAAATTTAAGTAAAAAAGGAAAGAAAATACGAAATCAATAAAAAGAAAAGGAAAAGGACAAAAGAAACCTACTACCAAGACAATGGAAAGAAAAGAAAAGCAAAAGGAGAGGAGTATATCCAAGTTATACAGATACAAAGGAAGAGGAAAGAGAAGTAAATAAAATATGAGAAGTTGATACGAGTTTAAACCAGTAAATCCACGCTGAAAAGGAAAATTCAGATTTGAACGAAAGAAAACGCTACAAGAGTGTAATATATTACAACTACAATGTGGTATTTTTAATGACATCACATATTCAAACAAAATTATACATAGTACGTAAATAAAACACACTTTAAGAAGAAAAACTATACTTAACTATACCAACCTTACATTATAAATTAGAGTATAAAATACATTTTAAACATTTATATTATTTTTATATATTTATTTTAAATTAAAACTATTATCAACACCAGGAGTAAAAAAAAGAAATAATAAGCCAATTCATGGCTAAACATACTACCACTAATTTCCGAATACTAACCAATTTAATATCTTAAAACTAGAATAAACCACTAAGGATAACATTAAAGTGCTTACATAAAGATAATATAACATAAGAGGATTCATTATTGATTTATAAAGTTTAGCAAGATCGTAAGGTTAATTCTTCAGTATGCTTGCAATTTACTGTAGTTTCATATCTTTGATTTAATAATTTATCGCTATTCAAGAATTTAATTATTCCTATTTTCTCCTGTAGAAAGTGAAAGCACGGTTCATTCGCCGATCTACATATTCTACCTTGTTTGAGAATTTCATCGGATTAAATTAATATTTACGTTGATGTAACTACATATGTGTACAGAGGGGAGAAAACGTTTAAATTTTCAACCTTTGATTTATTTATCTCATATTTTTCTCTCGTATATATGCAATTTTATAGTAGTAACTTGCAAGTTCTAATGTAACAGTTTATAAGATATACATATATATATATATATATATATATATATATATATATATATATATATATATATATATATATCCTCACACACACACACAGATGGTGCGATGGGTAAATTTCTCCCTTTTGTATTTTTAATTTCACGCAAGCAAGGTTGCTTGGTTTTTTATTCTGTCGACTGCACATTATAGTAGGATCAGTTGGACACTGTGAAAAAAAAACATCATAACGAAATTATCTCCGCCAGAAATTTCAAAACAGCATGCCGTACTGTTTAGCATTCGCTCCGAAAGCTCCAATACGAACATTTCAGAGTGTTTGGGTGCCAATATGAGGAGAGTGCAGAGGATTCGTAAAGAGTTGGATGAGTCTAATGGTGATTATGCAGGTTTTTGAAGTGATCACTAATGATGGCGACGTTATGACTCCATTTCACTTCCCACAGGGTCTCAGCCTCAGCACAGAGACCTACATCAAGTGCATTGAGGAGGTAGTTCTGGGTCGAGAGGGTGGCTACTGGAAGACCCTGTGTCTGGCAACAGGACTCTGCACCATGTCACACAAGCAGGAGAACCCAGTCATGTCTGTTAGATCATTTCTGAGAGCACATCACCTCTTACATCTGGACATCTACTCCCCAGACTGCAATCTCCTTAATTATTATGAGTAGAATATAGTTGAGCGAGAGACCACCAAAACTCTGTTAAAATGAGATGTCAGGGTTTCTTTCATTTTACGTAATTTAGGCGATAATTTATCCATCGCGTCCTATATATATATATATATATATATATATATATATAAATTAATGACGATGTGAAAAAATACGTATGACGCATTTCGTGCGTTATGACTTATTTTGATGAAACTACATATGCCTGCAAAGGGGAAAAAACAATTAAATTTTCAATCTTACATTCTATTTCTCTCTTGTTTTTCTCTCTCTCTCTCTCTCTCATACACACACACACACACACACACACATACACACATATATATATATATATATATATATATATATATATATATATATGATAAATATATTTTTTAAGTTATGGTATATTTATGGGTTAAAGTTCCCAATATCAGGGATAGAGCATATGTAAATATAAAAGTGGACATTGAAGTCAACACCCAAAGGCAACTGCCTGTTTCATGCTAAACGCACTCGTCAGGCATATATAATAGCCTGATGACCTATATATATATCTTTCTCCTTGCAAGAGTATACAGATATAAATGCATCCATACACACACTCATATACACGCATAAATAAAACTCACAGCGTCACACTATAGGCATCTATACTCAAATATGTAGTTTTAATCGGGTTTGCCCCAAATCATCTGCCTAACAAACCAAACAGGAATGATTGCGAGCTCCATTGGGCAATCAATCTAATGAGCCATATAATATTTATCAGAAATAAACTGGAAAAATCTCAAGAACAGTGTCAGCATCAAAGACACTGGTAGGTGAAATGCTATCTTTATGATGAGAATACTATCAAGGCGATTAAAACAGGTATTAAAAAAATACATATATCACACAAACTACACATTGGTATTTAATAACGTTTTGCATAAGGCTCTATTTGAACTGTTAGGGAAAAAACTTGCGAAGGTATTAGTATAATCCTGAATATTTACTGGGATAAAACAGCCTGCATCAAGGATAGAAATAAATTGTTTAAGTAAAAAAAAAAGTAATAGCTAGCCTCT